TATGGGGCCTTTATTTTTGTAAATATCAAAACACTTGCTCTATTGATGTTCTTAAAGCCCACTTCTGTATCCATAAGCAGGAAAAACTTTGACCTACTGCTAAACGTGTAATAGTTTCTCTTGCAGAATCAAATCAGTTCTTTGAGAGTTGAATTTACAGTCCAGCAACCTGCAATTTTGTATTAATCCACAATGACTCTTCCAAGGCTTTTACCTTACTGCATTTTTTATTGTGCAGTTACAACAAAGACCTTTTAGACAAGGTGATGGAAATGGCTGATGGGATTGAAGTGGAAGATCTGCCACAGTTTACAACCAGAGGTGAATTAATGAAAAAGGTAAACAGGATTTCCAAGTTCATTTAATGAAATTGTGTAGTTAATAGTTCCACCTTTATGATATGTATAGAGTATATTGCTTTTTGAATGCTTCTGTTTATTACCCAGAAGGTCTAAGCCCTTTTACTTTTATTTCCCTGTAATTGCTATAAACCTTTTCATAACTAGATAACAACACAGTATGATAAATTATGCACTGTTGGTAGAGTAACATACAGACTCTTCTGTTTTTCTAGGAACATTCTGTTTTGAGCTTTCTGCTTGATTTTTAAGTACATGTTGGCCCAGAGTGTGAATGTTTTCTACTTGTTAAAAAATCTTGTATGTAACAGTAGCTCATCATCACCTCAGCTGATGAAGGTCAGACCAGACTTGTTTGGCCATTCCAACTTGCTGATGGGAATGTGGCTGGAGTAAGGTCCAGATACTATAGCTGATCCCTGTTCTTCAAGGCTTAATCTGGTTTGGGGCTGTGAACTTCTACACAGTGAGCTGCTATTGAGACCCTTTTCTCTGGACCCTGGGACTTAGGCCAGAAAGAACCTTAGAGGAAGGTGCTGTTCATTCCACCTGTTTTCCAAAATTACTCCCAGACATTCTTTTTCTAATTTGCCTTCTTCTCCTCAATCAGTAGAATTAATTGCTCCCTTATCTCCCAGAGTTCCTTTGGCACTTTATGCAGGTCTCTTTTAGAATATAGCTCATGAGCTGTTGTCATTTGTGTGTCTCTTTTGCTGCTAGATTTGTGACCTTCTTGAGGAAAGAGATGGCACATAAAGTGTATTCCTTGTGACTCCAAAACCTAGTATAATCTTGCCCCAGAGAAGGTACTCAGAAAATGCTTATTAAGTTGACTAGAAGTAGTAAAGTAAAAGGTTGCTGGGTCCTTATAGCTCTGCCCTCAGAAACATAGGTAAGCCCTAGCTTCACCCTAGTTTGATCTTGTTTTGGGAGCAATACCTTAAGGAGGTCCCTGTCTATGTGAATTGTTGTTGCTGTTGTTAGGTGCCATCGAGTCATCTCTGACTCATAGTGACCCCATGCACAGCAGAATTAAACACTGCCCGATACCATGCCAGCACCATGATCCTTGCTATACTTGAGCCCACTGCCACTGCCCCTGTGTCAATCCATCTCGCTTTGGGCCTTCCCCTCTTTCATTGACCCTCCACCTTACCAAGCATGACATCCTTCTCCAGTGAATGGTCCCTTCTGACAACATGACCAAAGTAGGTGAGATGAAGTCTGGTCATTCTTGCTTCCAAGGAGCATTCTGGCTGCACTTCCTCCAGGACAGATTTGTTTCTTCTTTTAACAGTCCATGGTACTTTCAGCATTCTTCTCCAACACCACAACTCAAAAGCATCGACTCTTCTTTGGTCTCCCTATTCATTGTCCAGCTCTCACATGCATATGAGGTGATTGAAAATATCATGGCTTGTATCAGGCACTTGAAAGAGGTCCTTTGCAGCCAATTTGCCCAGAGCTATACATCGTCTTATGTCCTGACTGCTGCTTCCATTGGCATCGATTGTAGAACTAAGCAATGTGAAGTCTTTGACAACTTCAGTGTTTTCTCCATTTATCATCATGCTGCTTGGAGGTCCAGTTGTGAGGATTTTTATTTTCTTTGTAATGAGATGTAATCCATGCTGCAGACTGTATTCTTCAATCTTCATCAGTTAGTGCTTCAAGTCATCCTCATTTCAGCAAGCAAAGTTGTGTCATTAGCGTATTGCAGGTTGTTAATGATTCTTCCTCTGATTCTGATGCCACGTTCTTCTTCATATAGTCCAACTTCTCAGATTATTTGCTCAGCATACAGATTGAATAAGTATGGTGAAAGGATACAACACTGATGCATTCCCTTCTTGATTTTAAATCATGCAATGTCCCCTTGTTGTGTTCAAATGACAGCTTCCTGGTCTACGTACAGGTTCCTCATGAGCACAATTAAGTGTTCTGATATTCCCATTCTTCTCAATGTTACCCATAATTTGTTATGACCCACACAATCAAATGCTTTTGCACAGTCAATAAAACATAAGTAAACATTGGTCTTGCAAAATTCTGTCATGTGATCTCCAGTGTTACCTCTGTCACCAAGAGCAAATTTTCCATCTATCAGTGATTCTTCTTTGTTTTCAACTTTGGCATTCTAATCACCAGTGATAATTAACATATCTTTATTGCATGTTCAGTCAGTTTCAGACTGCAAAAGTTGATAGACATCTTCAATTTCTTCATCTGTGGCTTTGGTGGTTGGTGCATAAATTTGAATAATAGTTGTATTAATGGGTCTTCCTTGTAGGCGTATGGATATTATTCTATCACCAACGGCATTGTACTCTAGGACAGATCTTGAAACATCCTTTGTGATGATGAATGCCTAGGATATCAATCTTTATGCAGTCCATTTCATTTTCGACACCTTCCAATTTTCCTAGATTCATACTTTGTACATTCCATGTTCTGATTATTAATGGATGTTTGCAGCTGTTTCTCCTCAATTTGAGTCATGCAACGTCAGCAAATGGAGATCCCGAAAGCTTTACTCTATCTATATCATTAAAGTTAGGTTTCTTCTGATGAGGCAGCTCTTTCCCAGTCCTGTTTTGAGCGACTTCTGACCCAAGGGGCTTGTCTTCTGCCCTGTGTCCAACAGCGTTCCCAGGCTATTCATAAATTTGCTCAGTAATGTGTCAGACAGTGTTTCTCAGCTATTCATAAGGTTTTCCCTGGCCAGTTGTTTGAGAAGTGGATGGCCTCTTCCTTCTTCCTAGTCTGTCTCAGTTTGTAAGGTGTGTTGAAACCTGTGCACTGTGTGCTGGCATCTGAAACACTGGTGGCACAGCATCAAGCCTCACAGCAACGTGCAATCCCCACAGGATGAGAAACTAACAGACAAGTTTGTCTCCCTTAGCTGTTGGAAACCTCTCCAACGCCCCCTTACCTAATTCCTACCTGGATCCTGCTACTTTTGTGGTCCCCGGTGTTTCCTCCCTTTACTGCCTCTCAGGGAGTGGGTCCTGCCTCCCACCCCTTACCTGGATCCTGTCGCTTTTGTGGCCCCCAGCCCTGTGAGGATATCGAGGAAGAAATCAAATCCTTGGTTTCCCAGAAGTATGCCATGTCCAAACAGCATGGCCATCCTGATTTAGATGATTTTCCTAAAAAGTTACTCTTTTTGTTTTTCATTTGAACGTGGAATCAAAAGCTTCATTGTGAATTGGGCTTTTTGAGTTTGTGGCTTCACATATCTCCTCATGTAATGCTTATGAACATTCCATGGTAGTCTTCCTTAGGTATCCCAAAGTGATGTGATCTATGGGATCCTACCAGGGAGGGGCTAGATAGCTGCTGCCCACCTAAGAGTTCCCCACAGGATGGGACAGGAAGGGAAAGGGGCAAGCCTTCACTTCTTCATGGCATATAGCAAACTCTGTCCTTGCTTTTTCTTCTTGAGAGGTGTTTTGCCCTCCTTAGATCTGTTTTTTCCCCATCAGTTCTCTATTATACTTCTATGTCTTATATGGGTTCTGAAAGGTAGTTGGGTTCCTTCCAGTATGCTGGGCTATTAGAGATCAAAACACTTTATGATGTTTGGGCTGCAGACCCTGGAGGAGACTAAGGAGATTTTTTCATGGGTAGGCATGTCCCAAACATTATCCATAGAGCAGTGTGCCACAGTGGGTGTGTTATGTGTGATGGGGTGTTCTGCTTAAACTTAAAAATTGGAAAGGAATCTTGAACCTCAAAATTGTAGAGCATCCCTGCCTTGGCTGAAAGCAAAGAATACCAGAAAAATGTTTACCTGTGTATTATATACTACGCAAAGGCATTCAACTATATGGATTATAACAAATTATGGATAACATTGTGAAGAATGAGAATTCCAGAACACTTACTTGTGCCCATAAGGGACCTGTATATGCGCCAAGAGGCAGTTGTTCCAACAGAACAAGGGGATACTTCATGGTTTAAAATCAGGAAAGGTGTGCATTAGGGTTGTATCCTTTCACCATACTTATTCAGTGTGTATGCTGAACATATAATCTGAGGTACTAGACTATGTGAAGAGGAACATGGCATCAGGATTGGTGGAAAACTCATTAACGACCTGCAATATGCAGATGATAGGACTTTGCTTCGCTGAAAATGAAGACTTGAAGCACTTAACTGATGAAGATCAAAGACTACAGCCATCAGTATGAATTACACTTCAACATAAAAAAACTAAAATCCTCACAATTGGACCAATAAGCAACATCACGATAAATGGAGAAAAGATTAAAGTTGTCAAGGATTTCATTTTATTTGGATCCCCAATCAACGCCCATGGAAGCAGCAGTCAGGAAATCATAAGACATACTGCATTGGGCATATTTGCTGCAAAAGAACTCTTTAAGGTGTTAAAGAGCAAAGATGTCACTTGAAGACTAAGGTGCTGCTAAAGGGGCAAGGAGGCAGCATCTTCTGATCTCCTTTAACTCCACAAAAGGAAAACAGAATCACCATCAGCAGTCCAAGGCCTGTTCTTACAAGGCCAGACATGGCACCACCCTCCAGCTCTCTAAACCTTGACAACCACCCATTCCTCCCTTGGCACGCACCACCTCTCTGCTGGGTTCAGTAATTCGCTGCAGTGGCCATACAGAACTCACAGCTTATGGGGTTTATTAGGGAAGCAACAGGCTACAATTCAAGTTCAGCAATGCACTCAGTCTCTGTCAGCTGGCAGTCTCTCTCAGTAACATGTCTCTCTTAGCAGCGAGTGTCTCTCGCATCTCTCTCTCAGCAGTGCATCTCAAGTCTCTCTGTCAGCAGTGCATTTCTCTCAGTAGCACGTCTTTCTCAGCCGGCAGTCAGAGAGACTGCTTCTTCCTCCAGGAGGACTCATTTTAAGCCTGGCAGAGTAGCAGAACTAATCAATCCCAATATCAGAATTCTATACACTTGAGAGAGTGTGAACTTCCCAGAAGATTGCTTCTTGCTGCTCC